ATAAGAGAGGGGAAGATATTCTTAATGATCAACTTGGACGGGTGAGTTTGGAGTGTCGCAATGAGAAGTAAGATTCAGTAAACGTCATTTTTCATTCTCTAATCAGAGGGTAATTAATCGGTAGGCTTTACTTTCGTCAGATCATGTAATATTCTTAATTATTCCATCTTTCTAGCATTGTTTGCAACTACTCGCCCTTGCATATTTTTCATATCACTTGGCATGAAGAATGCCTCTAGCACAACAACAATCCCTATGTTCAATAAAAACTCTTATTTAAACAACCAGTGGCCAGTTAACATTGTGGTCTTGCTTCCTGCATATCCAGTGTAGTGATAGGAAGACTAAAACACCTTATGTGTTTAACATCCTTTCTTCTTGAACTATCCTTCACTCTGACATAAGAATGTGTGAGGAATGAATGTGAAGATTAGGATTGACAGAAGGTTATACTGAAGAAAGAGCTGATTTCGAGATTTGAACAGTGAATGGCTTGCATCTTTCTAACTTGCAACACTGTATGTGGTTCAGACCAGGTGATAGAAGACATTCATGAGTACAGAGAGTATGGCTGAAAGGCAGTGGGAAGATTCTAAGACTCTATGATGATTCATGGATGTGGATGGTGCATCAATATGTGGAGAGAGTGTGGCAGAGAGGAGGAATACACTAGCTAGAAGGAGGTGGTAGAGAGAATGTAGACTTATTTGGTTTTCTCGAAGAAGGTCTTTTTTATAGAGATACCTGGGTTGGGTGATATTGCTATACTAATAACATGACAGAGATAACTGCCTACTGAAAAAAAAAAACGGTTGGAAAAGTAGAGATTAAGTTCTTTGTAAAGCATGCCTCAGGTAAATACGAAACATATATATGTGACATGTTGACTAGAGAACCAGATTGATAAAGAGGGAAAATCAAATTCATAATGACAGCAGACTGAGCTTGAGAAACATGCAGAAACACTACTGAGGGATGGCAGTGGAGACTGTGAGAGACAGGGACTCTCTTCGGAAGGAGTATCTTGGTACACATTGACCCTAAGAAGCTGAGAATCTCTCTAAAAACAATACACAGTAAAGTGAGGTAAATATTTTATAAAATTCAGGATGTATGGACCTTAGGTGAAGAAGTCTGGAAAGTCCAGTACTTCAAACATAGCATTTAAAAGGTGGATCAAAGTTCATAACGAAATGGGAAGGAATGATTTTAAGAAAAAATTCAAAAGAGAGTGTAGAGATGTGATAGTAATGATTCTAAAATGACACTGGGTCTGGCAGTAGAATGTATTCAGACCTTGAGCAACAATTTCAGTAGACTGATGGAGATGGACAATGATTAAATTGCCAAAGAGTGGCCAGAAGGTGAATAAGGAGAAACGGTGTGTGTCGTCTCTTCTTTCACAAGCAGGATTTCACTGGAAGAGACACACCTCACTTAACATAATCAAGCTCAAAGGTCACACATAAAGAAAAGGCCTAAGGGAAGCAAGGAAAGAGAAAAAATAACATAGAAAGCCGGCTCTCATAGATTGAACAGCAGACTTCTAATGGAAACCTTAAGGCCACGAGAGAGTGGTGACACTGCTATTACATAATGCAAAACTGCAATATATCCTTGACATGAGAGAAATAAAAACTTTTCCAGACACACAAAGTGAGGGATTTCATTAATACCATGCCGTTCTACAAAAAATGTTTAAAGGAATTCTTCAATATGCAAACAACGGGACTCTTACTGAGAAATAAGAGATCATCTGAAGGTATAAAATAGCCAACTGACTGCGAACAGCACTCACAATACAGCTACTCTTGCTGTAATTGGCTATTCATTGATAATGGGCATAATATCTGGTCTGCTTACCTCACAGAGTGTACAAATCACTGAGAGGGTGGGTAAGAAAACCTTTAAATAATTAAGAAGCAATTTGTTATTAAGTTGATGCTCGTGTAGAAAGGCTGGCATGCTATGAAGCCTGCCACAACAGTGTCAATGCAGTTCATTGTAGTTGTGCAAAAACACTAAATGTTTACCTTTCAACTCTTGTTCCTTTCAATTTTTTTTCTTTTTTTTAGACGATCTCGCATTGCCGGACTAGAGTGCTGTGGCATCACAGTCACAGCAAACTCAAACTCTGGACTAAGCGATCGTTCTGCTCACTCCGAGTACTGGAAACTACAGGCCTGTGCCACAATGCCGGCTATTTTCTCTATACTATTCTTTAGTTGGCAATTAATTTCTTCTACTTTTAGTAGAGACAGGGTCTCGCTCTTGCTCAGGCTGGTTTCGAACTCCTGACTTCAGAAATCCCACCACCTAGGCTCCCAGATGCGGGATTACAGGCGTGAGCCCCGTGCCCGCCTGCTCCTTTCAATTTTGAAGGAGCTTCTACCCGAGGTTAGAAAAGGTATCTACTAGAATTGAGGAAAAGCCTTCTCTATTGAAGTTTCTTGTAGGATTTACTCTAGGCAACCATATATTTACTTGAAGGCTACTGAGCCAAGGAAATGCTATTAAGAAAAAAAGCTATTCTTTGACAATTTCAAAGATCTAATTCATATAGAAAATGGAGGGCAGAGGTTAAGGAATGCGTTGCTAGGAGTTGATGTGTCTGAGTAGTTAGCTCACAGTCTGATGATTTGTCCAGAGACATTGGATATCAGCAATGCTGGGAACTGGCACCTCTTCCCTGCAGTTGTGTAGCTCTTCAGCTAGGAAAGCTTCATGCAAACCTGCATGTGAGTCAAGGACACAGCCCCCAACATTACACATTGTCGTGACTCCCAGCGTCAGGAGTAAATATATTTTAATGAAAAATGAAGAGGAGCATATCAAGAGGGAGGAATGCAACTTAAGCAGATTTTCTCTCACGCAGGCTACCTGCTAATGAGAACTGAAGGAGACGTGGCCAAGGGGCTGGAGGGCTGTCTGTCCCCTCCAGAGAATCAGTCACAGTGTTGGCCAGCGGGTGCCAAGTGCCAGGTGCCGTTTAAGAAAGACATGAGCAACTAGGAGACAGCTCAGAGGACAGCTGTCAGCTGACAAAGAGTTTAGAAAGAAGGTGAGAGAAAAGGGCTTGGGGGAATGTGAGGATTGTCTAAACCTGGCAAGAAGAGACTGAATTACATGTGACATATTAGTTGCTATCTGGACATTTTGCAGGAGCGTTACATAGAGCAGATCTTCTTAAGCTTGTGTGTTGACAATGCCCGCACATGCCGTGTGGTGTGGTGTGTGTGTGTGTGTTCTGTGTGTCTGTGTGTGTGCATGCTCACTCCAAGGCATGTCAGGAAAGGTCACACTCACATCACATGGCCAGGGGAAATCAGATCAAGGCTGCTCAGATAGGTTCTGCCTAAAGCTATGATAATTCCCAGTCTACTCTTCCACCCGGGACGGAGGGAGAATTGCTTATCACACTGTGACTGGTCCGTCCTGGAGAACACACCTCTTGTGATTATATTACATTATTTTGCACTTATTTTTTACTTTGTGGATGTTGAGTAATCAATTATTAGTTTTTAATTGAGGTCACTCTCTGACTTAAACAGTAAAGGCTGACTTGAAGAACACGTGTTTGCCTAGGCAACCATTCATGAGAATAATAAGTGTAAAAGATGTTACGGTTTTCTATCTCGTTAGAAAAGGCAAACATTCTCTCTGTAGATAGTCTGGATTTGCAAAACATGTGGTCACGAGAGTACAAATGTTGGGTACAAGTGGATCAGGTTGTATTTCAGACTTTTCAGTACAACGTCAACAGCTTTGCCAGTAAAGGGACTCAGCTCATATCTAAGACATCCAAATGAAATGCACAGAACATGGTCACTGGAGGCAAACATGTGCTAGGAGGAAGGGTGGAGTTGAGAACTGGGACTGGCCAGGGGAGGGCAGAGGGACCCATTGAACCAGGAGGGCAGGCGGGATCTGCTGCCTGGCAAGTGGGACGGGCTGTGGCCACACCCTCCTCTTTTGTCACTTAGGACCGCATTGGCTCTCCTGTTCTGGGTGATGCGGGCCTGAGGCTATAGGCCAGCCGGGACCCCTCACATCAGTTGCTTCAGGCAGCCGACTGTTCTTCATGATGGAGAGCATCTTGATTTTATAAATGACTGTGAGCCACATGCTCATCCTAGGGAGACATCCCTAATCGCCACCTTCCTGAGCGGTCTGATTTTCCTATTCATATGTATTGTGCTAGTTTTTATAAACCTGTTAACCCACCGGAATTATATAATTTCATAAAGGTAAGGGACCGCGAGAGAGATCCTTTGCTGTTGCCTCCATTCCTACCCCACGTTCTACAGAGTCTGGTGGCTTGGAGAGTAACAGACGGCACTATTCCAGGGGAAGAGGTTGGGCAGGCTGGGTTCGGGAAGGAGGAAGGTTTCCACCTCAGGCACACAGGCTCTCTGCCAGGCTGTGGTAGGAGGTCAGCGCAACCCCAAACCAGGGACTTCGAGCTGCTGATGGTTGTGCTCAAGGTGCGGGTTCTCAGAGACAGTCTCCCTGACAACTGGATCCTCACTCTCCATGTCAGTGTCACTTGACCAAGCCTTCAACTGTTGGCTGAAAGGAGACACTGCCAGGACCACGCTCTGTCCCCACGCCAGGATACGGGTCCTAAGCACAGAAGTACAGTTCTTCTGCTCTAAGTGTGTCCTCCTCGAGCACACACTTGAGAGAACACCAAAAGGGGATTTCACAGACAAATCCTCCTTTGAGTTTCTCAAAAAAGGAAAACATTGAAATTTCTTCATCACTTTAAAAAATGGTAAAAGGAAACATTTCTAGTAAGTGAAAGTGGATAGTCATGTTAACGTTGAGAATGAACAGCTTCTAGAGAAGAGGAGGCAGAGAGGCTAGTGACCGCACTCATTATTTCCTTTTGTTCCAGCACCGAGGCAGAGCAAAGAGGAGGAGGAACGGCGCGACGCTGAGGGGTAAGGTTCTCTCTCATCCCTCAGTCTCCAGGGACGCCTCCTGTTCCTCCATGGGGCCCCAGGGTCCATGATCTCAAGGCTTCGTCAGGTGCTGGGCACAGTGTCTGGGAAGCAGAGCTCAGGGGAGCTAAGGAAGGCAGTGGGCCTGACATTCTCAGATTCCTGCCTCTGCCCACCTGTGGCATGACGCAGGATGGGTCCTGGGCCCTGGGTCTCCCAGTAGGCGGCCATGGGAGGACGTCCAGGAAGGACTACGCCGGTGTGTCTGGATCAGCACTTCTGTCCCCTGACTCTGCATAGAGCACAATTCCTGGTGCTCGGGTTGCTCCTGAGGAACCCTGACATCTAGGTTTCACCAACGTGGTCCCTGAAGCAGTGAGATGTTCGCCTGGCCTCAGATGGTTTAGAATAGAGCCCACGTATTGTTCCACTCCCTTCCACATCAGGAAATTCCCCCTCTTCCTAACTAGTCTCTCCCAGAGAGCCAGCAGGGCAGAGTTTGGCAGGGAGAGGGAAGCAGACACTCCGAGGCTGGCTGCAGGGTCTCCTGCAAAGGAGGCCACAGAATAGCGGAGGGCGAGAAGCTGTTTCTTAAAATCACAAGGTGCCCATTTGGAGGGGAACAAGTCCGGGGCATGAGGCTGCCACCAGAAGAATGCTGACACTGTCAGCTTAGGAGGGTCAGTTCCTCTCTTTGGAGGGAAAAGAGGGGACTGTTCAAGAGCGCTACCAATGCAGAACATCTCCAGACCAAGGTTCTGAAGGGCGGGAGCCGGTTTAGGTGGAGTCACGGCTAAAGTTTCGTCTGGCGGTGATGGAGCAGACAGGGTTGGCGGTGCGTGGTGACGTGCACGGGCGTGTGTGAGATGAGTGGCCAGGGTTGAAAGGGGAAAGGGGTCGATGTCTCGGGAAAGGCGGAGGCCGAAAAACAGGATATTCTTCCACGATACAGCGGCCTCTCGTTTGAGAAGCGGCTGTGCTCGTGGAGTATGACATGAGGGACAGGGAACGGCAAGAGGCTGGGGCGCGGAAGGGTGGTGCGGAGGGGCTGGAGGCAGGTGTCCTGGACGGCTTGCTGACAGCGAGGCGGTGTTGGAGGCGAAAGGAGCCGCAGAGGGAGCAGCAGCATGGAGGGATTCCCTGGGCAGGGATGGTGGGGCTTTCCTTGCTGTTTTGTGGCACAGCTCACAGAGGGGGTGTGGGTGTGCCGGGTGATGTAGATGGAAGATGATGTTCATATGGCTGTGTTGCAGGGGTCTGCAGAAGACAGGAGGTACAAAGCTGCAGCCAGGACCATGACAAGGCAAAGGGAGCCTGCACGTGTAGTGGGGTGGGGCCCCATGAAGCCTGCTGCCCCCTCCCGTGACATCACAATCCACCTGCTAGCCTCCCCCAAGCCCTTCGCTCACAGTCCTGTTCCCATGGCGACCCCCCCATGGCCCTGTCAGGGTGCTCTGAATCCCTGAAATGCACCGAAAATGCTTTCAACAGGGCCCTGGAGACAAGGGGAAAGATCCATCACCTTTCCGTGGAAGACAGTAGCCTCTGTCTCTCCGCGGCCTCTATCGGGGTCATTCTCTGAGCTGAGAACCAAGAGAGAAGGTGATATGTGAGGAAGGTAGAAGATTAGGATCTCCCGGGGCTCCCTTTATGGGAGACCCTGGGCTTGTTAAGCTCTGGCAGCCCCGATATCAGCAGATGTGGTCAAATGGTCAACAGTAATATTAGCAAGGTTCACGTGTGTGTGGGTTCATCTAGAAAGTCCTGTCCCACCCTTTGTCCCACATGATGCTCAAAAGCACCAGGTGAAGCCCAGAAGTCAGTGGTTCCCTCAGAGCAACCCGAGCACCCAGGTAGTCGGGGCTCTTATGCAGACTCAGGGGACAGAAGTGCTGACTCCAGACCCACCGGGAGTCCTTCCTGGACGTCTCCCATGGCCGCTTACTGGGGAGACCCAGGGCCCCGGCCCATCCCTCAGTCATGCCCACAGGTGGGCAGAGCGGGACTCTGAGAAGTGTCTCAGGTCCCAATGCCTTCCTGTGAGCCTCCCCTGAGCTCTGCTTTCCCAGACACTGTGCCCAGCACCTGACAGCCTTGAGATCATGGACCTGGGGCCCCATGGGAGGAACAGGAGGCTCCCCTGGAGAGCTGAGGGACGAGAGAGAACCTTACCCCTCAGGGTCGCGCCGTTCCTCCTCCTCTTTGCTCTGCCCTGGTGCTGGGAACAAAAGGAAAATAATGAGGTGCGGTCACTAGCCTCTCTGCCTCCTCTTCTCTAAGAAGCTGTTCATTCTCCAACGTTAACATGACTATCCACTTTCATTACTAGAAATGTGTTCCTTTTACCCATTTTTAAAGTGATGAATGAATTTCAATGTTTCCTTTTTTGAGAAACTCAAAGGAGGATTTGTCTGTGAAATCCCCTTTTGGTGTTCTCTCAAGTGCTGTGCTCGAGGAGGACACACTAGAGCAGAAGGCAACTGTCACTTCTGCGCCTTCAGGACCCTGTATCCTGGGGACAGAGCGTGGATGCCTGGACAGTGTCTCCTTATCAGCCAACATGTTGGAAGGCTTGGTCAAGTGACACCTGACATGGAGAGTGAGGATCCAGTGTCAGGGGAGACTGTCCTCCTGAGAACCCGCACTGTGAGCACAACCAATCCAGCAGCTCGAAGTCCCTGTGTTTGGGGGTTTGCGCTGGATCCTCCACCACAGCCTGGCAGAGAGCCTGTGTGCCTGAGGTGGAAACCTTCCTCCTCCCGAACCCCAGCCCTGCCCACCTCTTCCCCTGGAATAGTGCCGTCCTGTTACTCTCCAAGCCACCAGACTCTGGTAGAACGTGGGGTAGGAATGGGAGCCAACAGCAAAGGATCTCTCTCGGTGTCCCTTACCTTTATGAAGATTATATAATTCCGGGTGGGTTTAACAGGTTTTATAAAAACATAGCAAATACATATGAATAGGAAAATCAGACCCCTCAGGAAGGTGGGGATAGGGATTGTCTCCCCTAAGGATGAGCCATGTGGCTCACAGTCATTTATAAAATCAAGAGTGCTCTCCATCATGAGAACAGTCGGGCTGCCTGAAGCAACTGAGTGCTGAGGGGTCCCGGGCTGGCCTATAGCCTCAGGCCCGCATCACCCAGAACAGGAGAGTCACAAAGGGGTCCTAGGTGACAAAGAGAGGAGGGTGTGGCCAAAGCCCCTGTCCCACCTGCCAGGGCAGCAGATCCCTCCTGCCCTCCTGGTTCCATGGGTCCCTCTGCCCTCCCCTGCCATCCCATTCTCCAACTCCACCCTTTCCTCCTAGCACATGTTTGCCTCAGTGACATGTTCTGTGCATTTCATCTGGAGTCTAGATATGAGCCTAGTCCCCCTTTACTTGGCAAAGCCTTTGACTTGTACCTTGAAAGTCTGAAATACAACCTGGGATCCACTTGTACCCAGACATTTGTACTCTCGTGACCACATGTTTGCAAATCCAGACTATCTACAGAATGAATGTTTGCCTTTTTCTAACCGAGATAGAAAACCTAACATTCTTTTACACTTATTTAGTTTTATGAATGTTGCCTAGCAAACACTGTGTTCTCAAGTCAGCCTTTACTGTTTTAAGTCGGGGGAATGACTCAGTTAAAACTAATAATTGATTACTCAACATCCACAAAAGTAAAATAAGTGCAAAATAAATGTATATAATCACAAGAGGTGTGTGACTCCCCAGAACCAGGACCAGGTCACAGTGTGATAGCAATTTTCTCCCTCCGTCCCTGGTGGCAGAGTAGGACTTGGGAGTATCATAGCCTTAGGGCAGAACCTAGTCTTGAGCAGCCTGATCTGATTTTCCCCTGGGCCATGTGAGTGAGTGTGACCTTTTCCTGACAATGCCTTTGAGTGAGCATGCACACACACAGACACACAGACACACACACACACACACACACACACGGGTGTGCGGGCACTTGTCACACACACAAAGCTTAAGAAGATCTGCTCTATGTAATCGCTCCTGCAAATGTCCAGATAGCAACTAATATGTCACATGTAATTCAGGCTCTTCTTGCCAGGTTTAGACAATCCTCACATTCCCCCAGCCCTTTTCTTCCACCTTCTTTTCTAAACTCTTTGTCAGCTGACAGCTGTCCTCTGAGCTGTCTCCTAGTTGCTCATGTCTGTCTTAAACTGTGCAGCCTGGCACTTGGCACCCGTGGGCCAACACTGTGACTTGATCTCTTGGAGGGGACAGACAGCCCTCCAGCCTGGCCACGTCTCCCTTCAGTTCTCAGGAGCAGGTAGCCTGCCGTGAGGAGAAAATCTGCTAAGACTTGTCATTTCCTCCCCTCTTTGATATGCATCCTCTGTCATTTTTTCATTTAAAATATATTTACTTCCTGACGCTGGGAGTCACACACATGTGTAATTTGGGGGCTGTGTCCTTGACCTCACCATGCAGGTTTAGCATGAAGCTCTGCCTAGCTGAAGAGCTACACAACTGCAGGGAAGAGGTGCCCCAGTCCCAGCATTTGTGACTATCCAATGGTCTCTGGGACAAATCAGATACTGTGGAGCTAACTACTCAGACACATCATGCTCCTTAGCAACGCATTCCTGAACCTCTGCCCTCCCCAGTTTTCTGATATGAATTAGTGATTCTTTGAAAATTGGTCAAAGAATAGCTTTTTTCTTTCAAATAGCATTTCCTTGGCTCAGTAGCCTTGCAAGTAAATATATGTGTGCCTAGAGTTAAATCCTACAAGAAGCTTCAATAGAGAAGGCTTTTCCTCAAATTCTAGTAAGATACCTTTTCTGAACCTGGTAGAAGCTCCTTCAAAATTGAAAGGAGCAGGCCGGGCACGGTGGCTCACGCCTGTAATCCCAGCACTCTGGGAGGCCTAGGTGGGTGGATTGCTGAAGGTCAGGAGTTCGAAACCAGCCTGAGCAAGAGCGAGACCCTGTCTCTACTAAAAGTAGAAAGAAATTAATTGGCCAACTAAAAATATATAGAGAAAATTAGCCAGGCATTGTGGCACATGCCTGTAGTTCCAGCTACTCGGGAGGCTGAGGCAGAACGATCGCTTGAGTCCAGGAGTTTGAGGTTGCTGTGAGCTAGACTGATGCCACAGCACTCTGGGTCCGGCAACATAGCGAGATGCTGTCTCAAAAAAAAGAAAAAAAAAATTGAAAGGGAACAAGAGTTGAAAGGTACAACATTTAGTGTTTTTGCACCAACTACAATGGACTGCATTGACACTGTGTGGCAGAGCTTCATAGCATGCAGCCTTTCTACACGAGCATCAACTTTAATAACAAATTTGCTTGTCTAATTTATAAAGGGTTTTTCTTACACCCTTCTCAGTGGATTTGTACAACCATCCTGTGAGGTAAGCAGACCAGATATTATTGTGCCCATTTTATCAATGAATAAAGCCAATTACAGCAAGAGGTATGCTGTAGTTGTGAGCTTGCTGTTCGCAGTCAGTTGTATACCTTCAGATGATCTCTTATTTCTCAGTAAAGTCCCGTTGTTTTGCATATTGAAGAACTCCTTTTAACATTTTTTGTAGAACGGCACTGGTATTAATGAAATCCCTCCACTTTTGTGTGTCTGGGAAAGTTTTTATTTCTCCTTCATGTTCAAGGATATATTTGCAGTTTTGCATTATGTAATAGAGTGTCACCCACTCTCTCGTGGCCTGTAAGGTTTCCCATGAGAAGTCTGCTGTCAATCCTATGAGAGCGGCTTCTATGTTATTTTTTTCTCTTTCCTTGCTTCCCTTAGGGCCTTTTCTTTATGTGTGACCTTTTTGAGCTTGATTATGTAAAGCTTTGAGGTTGTCTCATTCCAGTGCACCGTTTCTCCTTCTTCACCTTCTGGCCACTCTTTGGCACATTTTAATCCATTGTCCATCTTCATCAGTCTACTGAAATTGTTGCTCAAGGTTCTGAATACATTCTAACTGCCAGACCCAGTGGTCATTTTAGAAGTCATTACCTAATCACATCTCTACCACTCTCTTTTGAATTTTTTTTAAAATCATTCCTTCCCCATTTCGTTTTTAGAAACTTTGATCCACCTTTTAAATGCTGATGTTTTTGAAGTACCTGGACTTTCCAGGACTTCTTCACCTAAGGTCCATACATTCCCGAAATTTTATAAAATATTTACCTCACATTTTTACGTGTGTATTGTTTTTCTAGAGGAGTGTATTCGTCAGCTTCTTAGGGGTCAATTGCTGTTACCCAAGATACTCCTTCCAAGAGAGTCCACTGTCTCTCACAGTCTCCACTGCCATCCCTCAGTGGGTGTCTTCTGCATGTTTTCCTCAAGCTCAGATCTTGCTGTCAATTATGAATTTGATTTTCCCTCGACATCGCTTTCAACATGTCACATAGGTTTCT